TCCTGTTGATCTTTTGAATGAAAGAGTCCAAATTGTCTCTCATTTGGGAAGGCTTAACAGGAACTATAAGCCCTCTAATTCCACTCTCAGGAATAGAGGCCATGACATGATGGTATCTATACATACATATACGCACACATCATTCATATATACATATACACACACATCATTCATAGTTATCGTATCGCATATAATACAATAACTATGAGATATTCAACATACTTTGTTTGATGTGGGTTTAATCTCACCATATATGTATATGTACGTATATGCATGAGAAATACTAAATTTATAATTTATAAGTTAGGTGACCAGTAAAGGTGGTAATGAAAGCTTTTTGTTGGGTGATGACCAGTGTTGTTAAGTAGTAGGTAAAATGCACATGGAAATTAATTAATTTATACGATAATTCTATCACTTGCAATGCTTCCTCTTATGTATAAGCATATATATATATATATATACGTTTGTAACTTTTTTTTTAAACATATATTTGGATGGATGCAGTTGAAATGGGAAGGTGGTGCAGGAACTCTCCAAATAAATGGAACCCAATATGTGCTTCAACAAGCTCATTGGCACTCGCCATCTGAGCACACCATTAATGGCAGAAGGTGCTATTTGATTCCATACATAATTCTTCTCATAATTACATATATATATATATATGTACATAATGTATTTATATATATGTAAAACTAATTTTCTAAATAATTATTTTACAGGTTTAATCTTGAACTTCACATGGTTCACGAGAGCAAAGATGGTAAAATCGCTGTTGTTGGTATCTTATACAAGCTTGGTCGACCTGATAGTTTTCTCTCATCGGTAATCATAATTAATTATTGTTTAATGTTAATTATTAATTAAATTTACAATTAATTTTTATAAATTAACTTATATTTATTTGTTGAATTTGCTAGTTGGAGCATCTATTAGCAGAAGTAACCGATACTAATGAAGAAGAGAGAGTCGTAGGTATAACCGATCCGAGAGACATCAAAATTGGAAGCCGAAAATATTTCAGATACATCGGTTCTCTTACTGTTCCTCCTTGTACTCAAAATGTTGTATGGACCATCGTTAGAAAGGTAATTAATTTCATTATCTATTATTAATCATTACTTAACTTAATAGTCGATACGTTTTTTTTTATAAAATATTATAAATTCAAGTTTAATTATATATCTAATTAAATTACGTGAAATTTAATAGGTGAGAACCGTGTCGAGAGAACAAATCAGATTACTTCGTGTAGCTGTGCATGATGTAAGTAACTTTTACAATAATTATTTTATAAATACTGAATCATATATCACTTTGAATATATATATATATATATTAATATACTTGGTTAATTACAATTAATTATATATTACTAATTAAGCCATATATGATTTAAAATATAAATCTTGCAGGAATCAAATACAAATGCAAGGCCACTGCAAGCAATAAACGAGCGTTCAGTTCATCTCTTCAGGCCAAATGATCAAGACCAGAACTAAAATTTCAAGAATTTGTTTCTTTAATTCTTCTATTCTTTTCCATTTCATTATATATAAAATAAAGAATAATTTGTATTAATTGCATTATGAGCAGCTAGCTTCATAATAAGGTATATATGTATGTATGTATATATACCAGTAGATTATTTATGATTCTTGTTCTTTGATTTATAATTAAATTAGTGTAATTAGTAGATATAAAATTTATTTTTTTAAAAATATTAAAATTGGTCCGAAAATACCCTAATTGCTAAAAGAATTAATTTAAACTTTATAATAATTTATGTATATATATATGTATATCTTACCAAATCATGAATACCCAATTGTTCAATTGCAACCTACTCTGCAATAGCATATATATATATATATATTGTAACTTGGGAATTTAATTAATATTATTGAAAATGACAAAGTATAATTATCCAGAAGCAATAGAATCAGCAAGAACCAACAAAGGTGCTTAAAAATGGCAGCCTCCATCAATAATACATATGGAATCCAACTACCCATATCTTCCAATATATATACAGTCAAGAAATTACATATAAAATTATATAATAGTAATAATTTATTTATAAAAAAATATGTAGGATGATGTATATGTATAACGGGTCAACACAACCCGAATTGAAAAAAAAAAAAAAGAAAACATTATTCATGCAGTTGGCGTTTGAATTCTGTACATCAATCTCATAATTCAATATATAAATCTTAAAAATTACTAATGCATGACTTGCTTATACATTAAACTTGCATGTATTAAGCCTACAATTAAACAAGATTAAAACATTGATTAAGTCATATATATATGTATGTATATATATTTACAACTTAATTATATGATGATGTTTAATTGTGATCAACCATTCTGGAAAGAACTTTAATAATGTCATCAATTGAAGGCCTATGTAAAGGATTATCCTCCAAGCTGGTCTTTGCTAGAATAGCTAAACATAAGGCATCTGCCAGAGGATAATTGCCTTTAAGACAAGGATCCATGAAGTTCTTTAGTTGCTCAATACATCCTCCTCCTCCTTCTTTTCCTCCCAAAAAACCGATCGAATCTATCAATAATTTCTTGTCCATGTCTTCTCTTCCCGAGATTAGCTCAAGCAAGACAACCCCGAACGCAAAGATGTTTGCCTTTTCGGAGATAACTGTACTACGAAAAGTGTGCTCGGATGTGTTGAGACTTTGTATGGGTTGAATTGGATCATTTGCCTTTGAAGCCTTGATGTTTGCAAGTTTCGCCCTCAAATTTGATGTGACAAAAATGTTTTTACTAGTTATCGTTACGTGACCGGTTGAGGGAAAAATACAAAAGTGAAGATAGTGCAAACCTGTTGCAATGTCGAAAGCTATTTGTATCCGCCTACGCCAATGAAGATTACAAGATTGGCTAGACAAAAAATCCCTTAAGCAACCATTGGCAGGAAACTCAAAAACAAGGTATGATGAGGAATGTTCGGATTCTCCATAGCAGACGCCATGCAAAGTCACAATATTAATGTGATTAATCTTTGAATACATGTCAATAACTCGTTTACTCTCTTCAAATTTTATTTCCTTGATCATTACTTCAACTTCACGGATTAAACCCTTGTAGAGTTGATCACCAATCTTATTATCGTCGTGAAAGACTTTAGTTGCTCTCTTAAGATCTTCCGTGCTATAATTGATTAACGAGTACTTTATTCCTATAAGAAGGTCAGGTGACAAGCACGAACTCGTTGAACTTTGCTTGGGTTTACCCCATTGTGGAGAGCACATAGTCGGGGAATATGATATCAAACTTGGAGAATCTTGAGTTGTGAAGGATTGCAGCCTTTCTCCCCTCCATATTCGCATCCTCTTCACATAAATTCCAAATACAACTAGCGCTAGAAGCAGTAAACAAAACCCAATAACTGAACCTACAAAGTACATAATCCTTAATTTTGCACTCCGTATTCTGTCCACAGTTTTTGTAGGGAGAAAACCAGGACCTGGAGGTTGAGAATCTGACACAGAGAAATTGATGAATGGTTCTGAATTTAATGGAACCAAAATAGTTGTCTTTGGATACACAGTAGCCTTGGGTTCTAAATGATTAACAGCCAATAAATCTTGAGTCAAAATACCAAATTTCTCACTCAAAATATCCAATGAGTCTCCTAAGACAAAAGGGTATGTGACAAGGTACTTCATTTCACTAGTACTAAATCTATCAGAACAAGCACATTTCAAAGGCAAATCAAGTTTGGAACCAACCTGAAATTCAAACTGGTTTTCGTTGAAAACTGTCTGGGATTTCACCAATCCTTCAAAAACTCCACAAGCAATCTCTGGGATAGATGTTGTTGTCTCCTGAATTTGATAGCTGAAACTTGCCTGGAAGAACTTACCAGAACAAGAACAATTAATAGGAACAAGAACTTCTCTGCCTATACTCAGAACTTGAAGAGTAGATGATACATTGTTCGATTTAAGCATCAACCGATGAGAATCCATGTTGAACAACTCAGAAATTTGTGAGATTGTTTGAAATTTATGTTGAGCTCTATAGACCAAAAATGTTTGACATGATGAATTCTGGGATGAACTGCAATTATACCTGGAACCTGGTGGTTGGTGAGGCTCATGTGAGGAACAACTTGATGAGTCGTAGTACTGCTGATCAGCATGGATGGAACCCAGAAATACCCAGATGAAAAGCCACTCATAGATCATTGTTTCTTAATGAATCACAGATTTTGCAGTCTTAATGATTGAATTAAAAGAAACCAAAAGTTAAAGCCTATACATATATGTATACATATTCTACTTCCACTGCTTACATATGAGGCAGTGTCTTTTAGTAGGACATATATAATATAATCTGAGCTGTGAACAGAGTTGGTAATTATTGAGGTGCTAGAAGTCAAGAAATACTTCATCAAATTTGTTTTGGAGAGAAGAGTCAAGAGAGATCATGACCACGAAAATATCCACAGGCCGGCCAGAAATTATTATTTGTTTAAGTAAAAATATAAAATAAGCAGAATGTATAACAATCCTTAGTGATATACATACACACACAAAATTTTAGCGCTAATGGGCATTTTGTGGTGAACTTTATATATACAATTTCTAGCTTTAGTAATATATTATGAGGAATTTTGCACATTAAAATTAAATTAATTCATATTATCTAATGAACTAATAATTTTATCTTCAAATTACTATTTATAGAAATAAAATAAAAAATGAAATAGAATACATATATTTTAAGAAAATAAAAAATATGATTAGCAAAAAAATAGTAAAAATATATATGAAATTCCATTCAAAAAAAATAAAATTATGTAAAATTTAAAATATATTTTAATCAAAACAAATTTAAATTTATAAATAAGTTCTACACAATAAGAGTCAAAAGAGTACAAAAGCTAGAAGAGGGACCAAAGTGTTTGAGCTAAACTTAAAACTTACGAATAAATTTTATTTTAAAGGAAGATTTTCAAGTTTATGTTGAAAGATTTATTCATAAAAATGAGAGCATTGGGCCAAACTTTGAAGGCCCATCAAGTCAAGGAGAGAGGCGACCACTAAAGTATTGTATACTTCAAGAGAATCCCGTGAGAGTAACAAAAAGAGCAACTAAAATCCCACGAGAGATTTTCTCTTCGAAGAGATTTTTTTCCTTTCCATCTCATCTCAAAAACGACAATAAAAGTTAATAAAATATATAACTTTAAGGATTCAATCGAGAGAAAATCCAATCATATCTTTTTAAAGTTTTCTAATGAAATACTTCTTATCAAATAGACACATTAAATATGGAAAGGAATCAATTATATTTATTTCATAAGATCACGTATGGATACACGAAATCATAAATAAATGCTTCTTTTAAAAGAAGTATATTAAATACGAAAAAATCAAGAATATTTTACGAAATCATGGACGATTTCACATGATCATGACATAATGGACAGATTCACAAGATCTTTTCGTATATAAGTATGACAAGATATCGTATTTAATTTAAGAGATTCTCAAGAGATATTCTTTAAATTAAAAAATCTTCAAGAGATATTTTTTAAAATCAATAGATCATCTCAACTAAATAACCTTTATTTTTTTTATATGTAATTTATTATTTTTTTAATTAAGTATTAGAGATCTTTTAAGAGATTAATTTCTATTGTAATCTTTATACCCTATATGTACAGATAAACTTTATGCATTAGTTGTAAAGAATCGAAGTTTGGAATCAATAAAATACAAAATTTTATAGTATGTCAACTACTTAGATTTTCGTTGACATTCTTATTGAATGAGAAATTGATATATACTTATCAATGTAACTTATAACGTTTTAATCAATATTTTTTCTTAAATTGAGTTTAACTTATCAAAGCATTTATTATAGCATTGTAATTAATTCATTTATCTTAATTACTTAAATTCTAATAATAGGTTGATTGCAATTTAAATAAAAAAAAATTTATTTAGATAATAAGTTTTTATATTAATTGTGTATGTGCGAGTTATAATTGCTTTGGTTGATTTTGAGTTTTATGTTAGAGAGAGTATTAAAGAAAAAGAAAATTATCATATTAAATAGGAAGTAAATCAAAATATTAAAGTGAAATAAATAAAAATATTAAAAAAATAAATTAATAAATCAATTATACAATTAAAAAGTAAATAAATTAAATTAATGGAAAAAAATTATATTTTTTTATAATTAATAATCTATTCTATTTTTTTTTTTGTGTGTAGAAAATCTGAATATACAGTCATCTAATATCCAATAAAATACGTATCAATAGAAAATATTCTTAACAATTATTATTATTATTATTATTATTACTATTATTATTATTTCACTCAAAAATCAAAATCAGTTCAAAACTGCTTTGAACCCTTCGGAATTTCGAAGCAGCAGCGGCAGGTGTAAGGTGGCTGCTCATCTGAAGCCTATTGAGGGCCTGCCATTTTCACGGCCAGCAAACGAGCCTCAGCCCTCTCAGCTTATGCTACAAAAAGGAGTCATCTGTAATTAAAATCATAGACCAAGCTTCCTCAATCCTTTGCCGGCCCAAGATCAGAACGGAAGAACGTCAATAGCTGCATTGGACCGCCTCACGGTGGCGTCACGGCCAAAACGATCTCGTTCCGATGGTATTGGTCTGTTATTCTTCTTTTTTACAGAAACTCTGCGCATTGAATGCGGAGAAATTTGCTCCTCTTCGCGAACAACCTCGTTCAAATCAATCATAACAGACGCAAATATCAAGGTTGATTTTCGTCTCTTCCTCGTTTCAGTAATTGGCAGTACATGTCATTTAGGTATTTAAGCAATCCTCAACACAGAACTCAGTTGAATTTACAAAGCATCAATTTGATTGTCATGGCAGATTGAATTTGGTTCGCAGAGAGGCTATTTTGGGCATTTAAGAATCTGTTTTCAATATTCGCGCCAAAAGGACAGAGCAAAATCCGACATCACAAGGAAAAGTCGAGGGTAACAACGTAAATTTACTGGAATCCTGGAAGGGCAATTTCGTCTTCTCAATAAAAGTGCCGTGTCCTTTCGCGAAAAGCCCATAATAGTAATGCTTCATCGACCGGACCTCCGGAACAAAACAAAACCTTCCATCCGACATTTCCTTTCTTTTTCTCTCGTTTTCGCGGAAGAAACACAGGTTTCTTATGAACCACGGTTTCTCTTAGTAAATCGAAACGGAGATCATCTGGTAAGATCTCTGACTTACCTTATAAAATTTCCAAACATTTGCATGCAGGTGGGTTTAATTTTTTCACATTTATCGTACTCAACACTCAGAGTAGTAATCCTCTAGCGAATTGTTCTCAATTTTGAATTAGGGTTCTGGTTTGAAGTGTTTAGGGATTAAACTAATGAAACCATTTGGTACTCGTTTAGTTTGTTTCGTTAATCGGGGGTTGCTTCCAGCGGAATTAGGGTTTTTCTTCGTTCGGTCGGTGGCATTGCTTTCTTTTCGTTGTATTCTTTAATGAGATTGACTTTTTTTCCCCCTTAGTAAATGTCACCATAGATCTTAAGTTTCCCGAGAAGAGAATTTAATGCCAACGGGAGTTGCATGAACATTAGTTTAATTTTCTCGAATTAATCTTGCTTAAGGGCCGGAGAGTAATATGCTCAAAAATGGTTTTCTTAAGTGAATTAGGATCCTCGTTTGGACAATATGTGATTACATTAATGAAGTAGTTGGTGTTCTTGGTGTTTGTTTTGTTAATCGGGTTTACTTCTGGCATGAGTTAGGTATTTTTTGTGGTTCAATTGGTGGCATTGCTTTGACTGAGATCTAGATTATGGCCATGAGTAACTTTAAAGTTGCTAATGTAGATGCATACTTGCTTCATCTGTATTCTTCATTGTGCCATCACGGGCCTTTTGCGCCTTTTGTGTGCGTGATTGTTTCTAATGATGATTTATCTACCGGCTGATAATTGTTGAATTCATAGAATTAGTGTCAACCAGTCTGCTTTCTTGAATTTTTTTGCATGACTAATTGCACTTGGTTATAAGCATATTCTTGCTCAAAGTCATATATGCATATTGGAAGATATGTTTCTGCTTTTTTATTTATTTATTGGGTCAGTGAGAGGTATAGAGGCTTGGATTATTCTGCAAGGTGATGATGGTGAAGTTGTTGTAAACAGCTAAACTTGGATGAGTTTGGGTATAGATGTAGGTGTTGTTGATCTCAAAGGAGTCTTTTATAAGGACAGAAAGCTTCTATAAGTTAGAGTTTCTATTTAAGAATTTGTGATGTGTTTCTGTTAAGAGTGTGTAAAATTGCTGAAAGAAATGCACTTAAAATACTAGGTGCTTTAAGAGTTAGGTTCTGATATAGGAGATGTCTGATATTGCTTATTTTGTGCTTAAAAGTAGCTCTAAGTACCTTTATTAAAAAAAAGCTCTAAGTACTTGTTTTAGTTTATCTAGTTGGTAATGGAATAAGTAGGGTGTCTATTTTTGTTTGAAATAAATATGGTGTAGTATGATTCATGAACAGGCTATTTAAAAAAAAAAATGATTCATGAACAGGCACTATGGGAGTGCAAATGTACGTGCAAAATATTTACATATCAATCAAAATATTAATAAAATCCCCAGTTTCTCAAAGGAGTAAAGAGGATGATCCATAATAAAAAAGTTTAGGTTCTAGAATCACCTATTTTTAACTCTATCGAAGCTCTCTTCTTTACCTTCGAAAGCTCTCATGTTCATTTCCTTCTGGTCTGCCCAAAAAATTGCAAGGGGAATGAGACTAATATGCTTTGTCACATTGCCGATTCCTTTCCAAGCCCAACTCTCCTCCCTCATGGAGCCAGTCATCACTCAATTTCTACCGAAAAGGCCATAAATGGGAGTCGATAATTGTACTCAAAGGGACACACCACAAGCAGATATGATTGGGCGACTATGCATCCCTTTTACATAAAAACATCATTCATCAAATCTTGCCCCTCCTGATTAACTTACCAGAGTAAAATAAATCTCTGTCTGCCTCTTAGGAAAAAAGCATTCTAGGAGAAACATTACCTTCCTATTTGCTTGATCCCTCTTCTATCAGTAATTATAAAAGATCTTATTGGAAAACCCTCTATATTGAGCCCCAAGGATTGTCTTGG